CCGCGGCTAGATGTCTACCCGAGCAGCCATCTTGGATCCTCCCAATCTAGATTATTCTATGTCATGTTTATATTTAAAAGTTTTTCTTTCCTTTGTCCTTTCATTCACCTACCTTCTATTGAATGTCTTTTTTTTTGTTTTGTTAAGTTTTTAAATAAATTTTTATTGTTCATATTATTACAAATGTTCCTTCCCCCCCTCTTCCCACCCCATCCTCTGCCTTTTCCCCACCCCCCATTGTCCTCATCCATAGGTGCACAGTTTATGTTCAGTCTGTTCCCACATCCCCCTCTCCCCTTTTCCCCAAGAATCATCAGTTCACTCCCCTTCCATACCTCTGAATCTATTATATTCAACAGTTAATATTGTTCCTCAGATTTTTTTTTAATTTCCTTGATTTTTAGATTCACTTGTTGATAGTTACGTATTTGTTGTTCATAATTTTTATCTTTATTTACTTTCTCTTCTGAAAGAACCACCTTCAGCAATTCATATAGTTCTGGTTTGGTGGTGATGAACTTCTTTAGCTTTTTTTTATTAGTGAAGCTCTTTATCTGACCTTCGAATCTGAGTGATAGCTTTGCTGGATATATTATCTTTGGCTGTAGGTTCTTAGGATTCATCACCTTGAATATTTCTTGCCATTCCCGTCTGGCCTGCATGGTTTCTGTTGAGAAATCAGCTGACAATCGTATAGGTGCTCCTTTATAAGTGACTACCTGCTTAGCTCTTGCTGCTTTTAATATTCCCTGTTTGTCTTTTGCTCTTGGAATCTTAATTATGATTTGTCTTGGTGTGGTCCTCTTTGGATTCCTTTTATTTGGAGTTCTGTGTGCTTCCTGGACTTGTAAGTCCAATTCTTTCCCCAGGTGGGGGAAGTTTTCTGTCACTATTTCTTTCAGTATGTTTTTGATATCTTGCTCTCTCTCATCTTCTGGGACCCCCATAATTCTGATGTTGGATCGTTTGAAGTTGTCCCAGAGGTTTCTTACATCATCTTCAATTTTCTGGATTCTCTTGCCTTCTAGCTTCTGCAGAGGAGTGTCTTCTGGCTCTTTATGTTCCAAATCTTTGACTTGATTCTTGCGATCTTCTATTCTGTTTTTAGGACTCTATAATATTTTTTATTTCAGACAATGTATTTATTTCTTGTTGATCCCTTTTCATATCCTCACAAGTCTTGTTTATTTTATCGGCCTTTTCTAGGAAACTCTTGAAAAACCTTATAAGTGTGGTTTTGAACTCTATATCCAGTCGCTTTTTGTCCTCCATTTCTTTCGTTTGTGATCTATTTGGTTTAGGCATTTCGCAGGCAGCTTTCCTGATGGGGCGGGGTTTCAGGGTGGAGCCACAGCTTTGGCTTCTGTCAGCCCCGCCCTATGCGACTCCTGAGACTCAGGGTCCTTCAGTACTTGTTGTAAGCGCCTCTGAGAGAAAGGCGCCCTCGATTTTCGCCTGCTGCCAAACAGTCTAGTCTCTCCCCCAATGGGCCCGGAACTGGGGTTCAGTTCAGTTGGAGGTGGAGTTGGAGGTGGCGTTCAGAGCAGACTGGAGCCCCTGTCTCCTTCCCGCCAGGCAATCCCACGGCACAGCCGTTCCTTCTCTGCGCCGCGGGGCCGGGACCTCCTTTCGCCTCTTCCCCGGGTTCCGCCTTTCAGCCCGGCTCCCTCTGTGTGAGCCTGGGTCCCCTGGGTCTGGCCTAGAGCTGGGGTTCAGAGCAGTCGGGGGCCCAGCACAGTTGAAGCTTTTATCTCCTTCCCGCCAGGGAACACCCGCCAGGCACTCTGCCTCCCCCTCCTCTCTGGCTCCGTCCTCTCCGCGCGCTGCGTCTCCGTACCTTGGGCTTTTCCAGCTCCTCCGCGCTTCCTTCTGGTTTTCTCCTTGCTTCTTGTAGAATTTCCATTCAGTCGACTTTCCTGTAGTTCTGGGTGATGTCCATTTTATATTTTAGTTGTATTTTATTGAAATTGTTGCATGCGGCTGCTGCTAGGTGCCTACCCGAGCAGCCATCTTGGATTCTCCTGAATGTCTTTCTTGTACAAGATGCTGCAGAAGCAAAGATAATCCAGCTGGGGAGATAGACAGACAATGATACGCAGTGTGATGAGGGCATGGGTGCTGCTGAGCAGGGATCTCAGAGCACGTGCCCAGGGCCTGGGGTGGCTTCGAGCTGTCCCTTTCACCCCAGCAATTCCAGCTTTGTAACGTGGTGGACCTGATCCTGAGAGGGTCTGTGTCTAAATGGTGGTTCTGCTACTTACTAGCTGGGTTACCTTGGGCCAGTCACCTGGTCTTTTGGGGACCTCAGTCTTCTCATTTGAAAAATCAGAACATGCCCTAGCTGGTTTGGCTCAGTGGATAGAGCATTAGTCTGTGTACTGAAGGGTCCTGGGTTCGATTCTGGTTAAGGGCACATGCCTGAGTTGTGGGCTTGATCCCCAGTAGGGGGTGTGCAGGAGGCAGGCGGTCAGTGATTCTCTCTCATTATTGATGTTTCTTTGTCCCTCTCCCTTCCTCTCTGAAATCAATAAAAATAAATAAATATATATATATATATATATATATATATATATATATATATAATCAGAACAGAAGTTCCATCTACACTTTAGGGTGAATGTGAAAGAATGCTTGAGGAAGCACATGGCATAGGTGGCAAACTCTAAATAAACTCTAAATGAAGCCCTCCACCACTGTCACCCCTGACAATGATGTAGCATAGCATTTACTCAGAGATCATGGTATGTATTGAGGTTCTCAAAGCACTTGTCCAATTTTACAAGATTCTTCCCACCTGCCCCAGGTGGGATGGGGCAGAGGATGACCTCACTCGTGAGACACGTGGGGAAATAGTGCACCAGCCTTGTCCCACACGCTTCAGCAACTGCAAGGCTGCTCTAGTTCCAGCACCTGCCCCAGGTGGGGGTGGGGCAGAGGATGACCTCACCTGTGAGACACGTGGGGAAATAGTGCACCAGCCGCGTCCCATGCACACCCATGCAGCCACTTCAGGCCACACCCAGCTCACTCTGAGTAGAGGGGCACTGCAGCTCCTGCAGACAATATGCTTGCATGTGCCATCTTATTGCACCCTCTCTTCACTCTCTCACCTTCCCCTTCTCTCTTCCCTGCCCCCTCTCTCTTTCTCTAAATATTTACTCAGCATCTATTATGTGGTGAACACTAGACATACAGATGAGTACCTAACTCATGGCTCCTGCCCTTGAGAAGCTCACAGCAGGAACATGCGCTTTTGACATTGGGCCATCTACCTAAGGGAGACATTTTTGGCTCCATTTTGGCAGATGGGAAAAGATTGAGGTGGAGAGAGACTTGCTAGGAAGTGGCAGAAGCAGCATTCCAGCAGGCCTGCACCTCACCTCCAAAGCAGGCCAGGGCGCAGGGAGTTAATGCTACGTACATGTTCCATGCTCATCCTCACCTCTGGGCCTTTGTTTGTGCTGTTTCCTGTCACACCTGTCCTCATTCTCTGCTTCCTCCGTCCAGCCCTGCCCAAGTCTCACTGCATCCCCAGCATCTTCTCCCATCACTTGAGCCTGTGCTAACCACATATAACACAAATAATCACATCATAATGGAAGTCCCCATGGATGGAGCACTGTCATGTGCCAGTCACTGTGCCAAGGGCCTGGCTTGGTGCACTGGCTAATTTGCTCATCAGAACAAGCCTAGCACGTGGACCTTCTCATTACCTCAATGTCTGGAGACATTGCTGAGTTAGGGCAACTAGTCCCAGTTACATGCTAGTGTGTGGCCAGACTGTGGCCGGGGCTGGGAAGGAGTTAGTTGTCCATATAAATTGATTTCTTTATGGTGCAAAGAATATTTTCATAATCTCAATAGATTAACTCGTGTCACATGTGAAGCTTTCTTAGAGCCTCTGTTTCTTCAATGGTGAAATAGGAAAAAATAGTGCTTCACTCATAGGGTATTGTGATGATTGAGGTAATGTGTATACAGTATACATAATGCACAAAGTATTCAATAAATGTGAATTACTATTATGTTTTTATTGTAAAAATACAGGTCCCAAGGCTCTGCTGCTTGAGGTTATAAATTCGGTAGGATCTGTAGTGAGACCTGGGAATCTGCATTTTAAAATGTATTATCTTGGTGATCCGGTTCTTGGATCACCTGTCCCAGGTCCCTTCCTGAGACCTTTTCCTGGGGTGAACCTTGGCTGTCCCAGCCCCAGAGAAGCACATGCAGGCTGGATACCCCAGCCTCTGACAGAGGACAAACAAGCCCAGAAGGGGTGCCCGATTTAGCAAATACAAACCTCCTGCTTTGCCTGGCTATCCTAAATTCAGATAAAACTGTAAACTAGTACCTACAGGGGAGATTCTTTTTGCTCTGTGGGTCTCCATTTCTGTCACATCAACTATAAGGTGCAAGAGTGTGGAGTGTGAGGACAAAAGTATCTTATAGTTTTTAGAGATTAATATAATTAATGGGTCTTTATGTTTAAGTTAGGGACCTTTGATGAGGCCATCTGTTATAAAATCAAAGAAAGGGGCTTTAGGAGCCATCTTGCTCAGTCTGCTCATTTTGTAGGTGAGGGAACTGAGGCCTGCCGGGAGGGGAAGTGAGTTGTCCAAGGCCAGTGCAGGGGTAGTGGGAACCTAGGTCTCCAGTTTCTGGCCCAGCATATGTTACTTTTTCCACCCTACAGCATTTATTTCTGTCCTCTGCCACCTCAGTCATATGTGGGGGTGAGGTGACACCCAGAATAACCAGGGTCCTGGGCCTAGAGCCTTCGCAGAGACCTTTCCGGTGACAGCCTCAGGATGGGTCCTGCCCTTGTGAGCCAAAGGGAAGAACACAACACAGAAGCCCAGTCAGCCCCTGGCTGGACAAAGCCCCAGAGATGGGCGAGGGATTCTGCCACGCAGGGTGCTCAGGGTCAGGTTCAGGACCTGTAGCCACTGGCCTGGCCTCGGGGCGCAGGGCTGACCAGGCATCCTGCTGGTGTCTTGCAGGGTGTCCGGAGGAGAACTCTTTGACTTTCTGGCCCAGAAGGAGTCGCTGAGTGAGGAGGAGGCCACCAGCTTCATTAAGCAGATCCTGGACGGAGTGAACTACCTTCATGCCAAGAAAATTGCTCACTTTGATCTCAAGGTCAGTGACGGGGGAGGGAGGTGAGGGAAAGTAATCCATTTAGGAAGAATGGACCCATGTCTCTCCCGATGTCATTGCCAAGGGGGGCCAGTGCCCACGTGGCTCTCCTCCCCCATCTTACAGTTGAAAACTCTGAGCTCCTGGGAGAGGAAGTGTCCACCTCCACAGGTTCACTGGACAGATTAGGATTTCTTCACCTCGACGGGCTGCAGGAAGCTCCTTAATCAGACCACAGACACCTTATCTCTTTCAGAAGCAGATGGTGTAATTTTTAAATAAGTAGACCAATGACAGGAAACTTGAAACCAAACACATTTAACAAGATTGAACTTTTCAGTAAGAAAGAGCTAACTCCTGAGGAGGCAGATCTCGAAGTGTTCAGGGGGGACGGCTGAGGTTGGTTGGTGCTCCAGACCCACCACAGCACAGCCTCCAGCATCCCTTGACCAGAGGTTGTCTATCTTGGAGCCCAGGACCACTGGCCTCCCTCCCCCACTCCACCCCGTACTGTGGCCATCAAATTGCTTCCAGGGGCCACAGATCATTTGTGGTAACTGTTCTTCAAGGTTGAGAAAGTTCACTGTGACCACATAGGACTTCAAAAAGCAAGAATGTGGTCAAAGTAGGATGATCAGTTCCCATAGAAGCTGAGCTCCTATGCAACAACTGATGAGACCAAAGCATGAAGCTCTTACAGACGCCCTAAGCATGAGATCTCTAACCCATGGTCAGAGGGACCTGTTTCCTGGGGAGAAGACCCCACTCATTTTTCTATCCAGAAACTCCTGTTGTGTTCCAAGCACTGTGCTGGGTGCCTGCATATTGCTACAAATCCAGAATCAACTGAGGCCCTGTCTAGGCTTAGTTCCTCTTTTGCAGGGAACTTAGTGGAGGAAGCAAAAAAGAAAGATAAACAATTAATTCTAAGTGCTACGATAGAGGAAGTACATGGGGCTGGGAGCCTAAAGGAGGGGCATTTAAGTCAGAATGGGGTATTTGAAAGGGCTTCCTGGAGAAGGTGGTATTTGGCTTGAGGTTTTTTTTTTTTTTTTTTTTTTTTTTTTTTTAATGAACTTTTCTTAAGAAGAATTAAGAATTTTTAAAAAAATATATTTTATTGATTTTGTACAGAGAGGAAGGGAGAGAGATAGAGAGCTAGAAACATCAATGAGAGAGAGTCATCGACCAGCTGCCTCTTGCACACCCCCTACTGGGGATATGCCCGCAACCAAGGTACATGCCCTTGACCGGAATCGAACCCGGGTCCCTTCAGTCCCCAAACCGATGCTCTATCCATTGAGCCAAACCGGTCTCGGCAAGAATTAAGAATTTTTTTTTATGAAAGTAGTTTTTTAAAATATATTTTATTGATTTTTTTCGGAGAGGAAGGGAGAGGGACAGAGAGTTAGAAACATCAATGAGGGAAACATCGATCAGCTGCCTCCTACACACCCCCCACTGGGGATGTGCTGGCAACCAAAATACATGCCTTTGATCAGAATCAATCCCGGGACTCCCGAGTCCGAAAGCCGATGCTCTATCCACTGAACCAAATTGGTCAGGGCGTGGCTTGAGTTTTGAAGGACAGGCAGGCACTATCAGAGGAGAGAGGCATTCTTGGGAAGAGAGGCCAGCAGGCTACATGGTCCCAGAATACCACAAAGCATTCAGGGAAGTAAGGCAAAGAGTGAATGTGCTGAATGGCTGGAGGCCAGAGTCCCAGCCAGGAGGTTATACATTTATCAGGTGAGATGTGACAAGTGTCAAACTAATTTGAGAAGGGGGCAGATGTAAGACCTATTTCAGAGGTTGATCTGAGGATTGATTGGATGCCTAATTATTATAGATATGGGAGATGAGAGAGAGGGCAGAGTCCAGGATGACACTGACGTGGGGCACTGGTCCAGAGGATATGACTTATCTACTGCCTCACAGCAACTGCAGAGGATGGACTCTGTTCCGGCATGTGGATCTCACTCCCGCACTTATTCTGCATTGTGAGTGGCCTGCTGGGAGTCTCCTCCGCATGGTTCCCTCCTCCTAATGCCAGTTGTTATTATCTTGCAGTATATTGAATTCCTCCAATAGAAAGGTCTTACAGAGCTTCACTTATGTGTCAAGGGATAAAAGTTGGGGTCACCAAGGAGGGTGTGGCCTGGGCAGACCTTTGGACCTCAGTGTGGTAAGACATCAAGTAGAAAACACTCTACCCGGATTACACCTGTGCCTCCTTCCTGGTCATACTATAGACAGTGAGCTTGTTTTCATGTTTTTTGCTGGATCCATGAGACCAGTCTCAAAATGGGCTCCTTGTCTGTTCTATAATGGGTCCACACACTCTAAGGATACAAGGCGTGCGTGGGTGTTAGCAGCATTCTCACCCTAACACCCACAGGAGGAGTTGTGGAGGAGGAGGAGGAGTTGTGGAGGAGGAGGAGGAGTTGTGGAGGAGGAGGAGGAGTTGTGGAGGAGGAGGAGGAGTTGTGAGGCCCACAGGCCCCATGACTAGAGCAGGTTCCTGCTATATAGTTTGTTTCTATGGTGGTCAGGGTGGAGGGGGAGGGGGAGAGAGCTGGCCAGGAGTTAGCAGGTCAGGGTTTGTGTCTCTACTGTGTACCAAGATACAACTGAACCTGGGTTTTTCAGCTTCAATGCAAACAATAATACCTGCCTGGCAGAGCTGTTGCGAGGGTTAGAGAGAAGTGGCATGAAGTGCTGAATACCAAAGAGGTGCTCTGTACTAGTAGCTGGTGTTGTTATTTCCCTGAACACACAACTCTTGTCACAGTATTTTGGGCCCCAATAGACTAGGAAAACAAAGCATGTTGGTGCCATTTAAACTGCCCAGCAGAGAGCTGAGATTGGTTGCTGGGTGGGGCTGCTGTGGAGGATGTCTGGCTCCTGGGCTCAGTCTGGACATTTTCCACAATCTGGAGACAGTCAGGGTTACTCCTGGATGCGTGCAGGGCGAGACTGCTGCTAAAACCTACCCCCCCCACCCCCCCACCCCCCCACCTCATGTCCTTAGAGCTGGAAGTGATAAGTGGCTGGAAGTCAGAGAGCTGACCTCAAGGTTGGGTAGACATTTCCTGGAGGCAGAATGTGTGTGTGTGTGTGTGTGTGTGTGTGTGTGTGTGTGTGTGTGTGTGTCCCCTGGCTGAAGCTTTCCGACCACCCGAGGGGATCATGTCAAAGATCCTGCTTAGAGGGGACTTCTTGGTTCCATATTGTCTCCCACCATATAAAATTCAATTTATATGAATGCATTATTATTCCTGGTCTTCATTCTCATTCTCAACGAGAAGGTCTCAGTTTTCCCCTCCTGTTTTATCCTTTACATTTTTATTCTGCCTCACCAGGTGAGCCAGGCTAGCCAAACTGCCCTGTTAACATGTGTCCAGGTTGTGTCCACGTACCTACCCATGACCTGTTCTCCACTCTCACTTTCCAGCTTGATGGAGGAGGGTCAGCCTTTAGAATATGAATGGCCTCTACGCCTCTGTCAGCTGTTGTGCTGGGGATGGTGAGGCTCTGTCCCTGCTTACGACATGCTCCCAGCTTTGTGGCACAAAGCAGATGAATGGACACAGAAATGTTGATAAACAGTCTTGGTAAACAGATCATGGCATATTGTTGCCCAGAGATCTCTGATGGATCCTTTTCGCCTACGGGATAGATAAATGGCCCCATTCTCAGCATGGCTTTCAGGCCTTTCTTATGCTGCCTTAGTCTTTAGTCTGGCCTCATCCACCTTCCCCCACTCCAAAACATTAGCCCCACCAACAGGACCACAGATACCATTCTGGCCTTTCTCCTCCTCTGTTCCTGCTGTTCCCCCATCCAGGAAACTGCTGCTCTTCCTTTCCTATGCCTGTGGACTTCCTGTCCATTCTTCAAGGCCCAGCAGAAACACCATTTTCTCTGAGAAGACTTTCTCATCCCTGTCATCTCCCAAATCATCACTGAGAACTGACCTGCCTGTCTGCGTCTGTTGTCCTTTGTACAGACTACTGCTGGGAGCATTATCCCTGTGAACCTTCCGCTGCTTGTGTCTAGCGCAGTGACTAAGTGTTATGCAAATAAGTAAATGAATACCTTAGTAAGACCAACTGCATGCATGGATGGCAAAGACCCTTTTATGTCACCTGGAAAAAGCAAAAGAGGTTGCAGGCAGGTTTCAATTCAGTTTTGGGTTCCTGGCTTGCATACAATTTCATTCAACCCTCGTGAATGAAACCATAATTCGGTGATCTGAACATTTATTGAGGGACTATTTTATGCCACAGAGTAGAGTGACAAACATCAATGTAATATAGCACCTGCTTTCCAAGGGCTCACCATCATTAGGAGATGTTATAGTGGGGTTCAAATAGAAGCAAACCCAAGAAATGTTCACTTCCAGGAGGTAAATTCTGCCCCAGCAGAATGAATACCATCCGGTGTGTGCTATACATTCACACAGAAAGGCCTGCTGGAGTGGGTAGGATGGGTAGAGATAGATGAGGTTGCCCTGTATTTACATAGATGAGAGGGATTCTGGGGCTGACTGCCCCTCAGTACCAGCAGCACAGGCATGCCTTCCACGGAGGGATTACCAGGAAATGGGGCTCAGTGCTACACAAGAACCTCACCCTGGTATGTGATCCCAACACAAATAAAAGCCTTGTAAAGGGCGTTTTTATGTGGTTTTGTGTTTATTTTGGAGTTGGGAGTTTCCTTTCTGAGTAAGGGTGTGACTCCACTCTCCCCCACAGCCTTAACCTGATTCAACTTGAGAATTCAGAAAGAGAAGATAGTTCTCAGGTGTGTGTGTGTGTATGTGTGTGTGTGTGTGTGTGTGTGTGTGTGTGTTTTCAGGTGCTTAGAACTATATGCTTTTATAATTTCCATAATTATGAACTATATGCTTTCATAATGGAATAAAAATAAGACACGAGGGTTGAATGAAATTGTATGCAAGCCAGGAACCCAAAACTCAGAAGGGACTTTTTGATCTGTAT